CCCCTGTGAAGACCTGTCAATTCTTGTGACCTAAGTGGCTCACTTGTACCATTTTGCAGCTTCACAAGAGTTCACAGGTCTCACCAAAATGAGACCTGTTATTTTACGTAAACTAGCGGAAAGAACCAGTGCAAGTACCAAGTACCCCTTTCAAGCCGAACAGCGTCTAATAGTTCATTGCATGTACATTGGTGGGAACGACGGTGACGTAGTACCATGTGACCACCACCTTACCACGTGCATAGCCCAGCAGCAAAATCCCGGATCTGCTCCCGCCAGGGTCTGCCAATTAAGCATCCCTTCGGGTTCAGTTAGTACTGAGTTCCACTGGCAGGATAAAACACCTCCATGAGCGTTGACCCCGTTTAGTAGTTGCACAGGCCAAATCGCATTCAGAATACCACCACGATCCTTAATGGAAGTAGAATGTGCGGCGCATTCCGAAAAAGAACAATGAACGTTGAAAGCTTCATCCTATGACAGGTCCCGCCGATTCAGGGAATTTTTTATACGTCTGCCTCCCCAGAAATTCCTTCCTCCAGCACGACCTCTCTCTCCATACTCCATTCCACATGTCATCCTATGTATTCCCGCTTCCTACCAACTCGAGGGTTTTTTTTTCAAAAATTCCTTCTATCTTCCCAAAAACTGCCGTCGCGCGAGGGAGGGGGCTGTAGTACACAGCGCACTTGAAACAAGAAAAAAGGAAAAGTCATCCACTGAAAACATTCTCCTCAAAGGCGATTACGCCCCCGCCTCCATCCAGCGATCCTGTGCGACTATTTCACTGGGGATTCCCAACGTACGACGAGCCCCTATTTACTTTCTGCGCTACCGACGTAACGTAAAATTTTCCAAGAGAACTGCTTGAGCTCCGCTTTGTCCCACTCTTTGGTCCCGTAACGATTCTGTACTGCCGTATTGTTCCGATCTGGCTCTTTGCGAGGTTTTCGCAACGCGACGACAGCTGGCTGACGCAGCTGATTCCTGCCTCTCACGAGACAGGGGGCGTTTCTTCGGGGTATGCCTGTCCGCACTTGTCGCCCGGCTATAAAAACGCGCATGACAAGGGATTCCCCGAACCAACCACGAGGTTCCCCAAACTCAACGTCTGCTTTTTAGTCTCCCCCCCCCCCATCACTCCTGTCTTGATCGTTTTAGCGTTGAAATACTCTTTCTCTTGTCGATCTTATCTCCACATTAGCCGTGACCAAACTTGTGCAAACACGTGACATACCCCAAAACTCACGCGATCCAACATGATGGCACGAGTTTCGACGGGAATTCCCGAAAATTCCCGAACAACGAGCGCGTGCCACATCAGCCTTAATTTGCACCTGTTGCTGTGGGGTGTTCTTGACGGCGTGTGTCTCGTCGAAGCCTACTTAATTTTACCCCCCCCCCCCCGACCACGACCGGACACTGCGACTCCCCTACAATGCACCGCAACTACAGTCAGACGAAACCTTTTATACTAGATTTAATTGCTCAACCTTTGCTTAGTTTTTCTAACGGCTTTTTTGTGGAGGCTTGGTTAGCGTTTTTTTTCTTCTCTGTAACTTCTTTCTTGGGGGTTTCATTTGTTGGCCGCCTGCCACAAAACTTTCGTATAAGCATCATGTATTGCTGCCACACCATCTCCTTATAAGATCACGCATGTGACACTATATGTCATACTCACCCTGATCACGAGTATGACATTCACTCTTAGCACAAGCGTCACCTCACGTCACAACAAGAGGACACACAAGGGTAAAGGTAGTCGAGGTAGGGTAGCGGCATTGTATGTCACGTCATATCCTGCCATGTTTTTCGAAATCTTGTAAAGGTTACATACGCCAGTTTGTTACTTCACGAGAGAGCACCAGACATGGCGTGCATACGCGCCGCTGCTTGGTCCCCCTCAAGTACCTTTGCTCGCGCATTATTTGTACCCTACTCTTTAAGACAAAATTTCGTGTCGTTTGGGTGGTAATAAATAATTATGCGTGTGACCTTTGTTATCAGGACCTGTGACTCCTGAACTCCTGGGGAAAGATCTGGCGCTGTCACCTGCTAGAATGTGGTATTTTTACAGCAACCCATAAACCAGCAGGATAAAGTAAGTAAAGAGGTTCGGTGGTTTTTTCCTGTAATTATTATCCGAGTTGAACCCTGCGACCATAAAACAAGTTCGTTGGACTAAGATTTTCTCCGATATTAAGTTCAATTGCTTTTCTAGAGCACTAGCTCTCAGAACGACATGGACCTCTACTTTTGCGTGGGAACCTCCCAGATGTTCATCTAGCTTTTCGGCAAGGTGGATGAGCTACTCTGGGAAGAACTATATGACCCCGGAGTGCCGCGACGCGGGCGACATATTGCTCATCTGAATCCTTATCTGTGCACTCTCGACTCATTAGAAAGTAATAGAATCCAGGAGAAGCGTTGAAGAAGAGACGTAGGGGACTGCTACGAGTTCGTCAGTTTAGAGATACGGTACTTGCAGTTCGCCGCGCGCGATAGCCGGCCATCCTGAATCCCGTCTCCCTACATATTTCTCTCGCCACGACCCTCTTAACATCAGATCACTTGCATGTCACACTTCATGTTTCAACATAGTGCAGTTACTTTTTATGCTCCGAAGAAGCAATCAAGAGGAGGGGGGGGGGTAATCTGATCCTTGTCATTCTGGGCATAGAAGCTGCAGAGGTTCCTTTAAAAAGCCAGGGTCCTTGGAAGCTTACTACTTCTAGTCGCCATAGCAAAATCAATATTGATAGGCAAAACATAAGCAGGGGTGAGCTTGTGCACGTTTTACGGGGAGGATCCCCAATGAGGCGGGGGTAGGTCGCTGAAAGGGATGAGGATCGAGTTTGGGCTAAGAACAATATCGTTGGGTTTTTGTATACCTCCTAGCTGACTACAATTTTTTTCCAAATAAGTTGTTGGGAGGTGTGGGTTGTGTACGGGGTACTACCCACTTCCACAACCCACCTAACCTAACCTTCCAACAACTTATTTAAAAAAGGAGAATATTGGGGATGGGGCTCCCCGTGCTAGGGCCTACCCTGTCTGAACTATTCGTGCATTTAACAAGTTCTTGCCCGTCGTTCCCTTCATCTCCCCACCCCGTTATCGATTCTCATTCTCTTGGTGGCGGCCGGTTCGTCGTTGACACTGGCGCTCTAGCGCTCGTCCGTTGACTGTCGTGCTGCTGATGGTTGACGTTATCACTTGGGGTATCCCCCATCTGCCTGTTTCACGTTGAAAGTGCATTTTCTGTCGCTGTGAACTAACTCTCCGTGCACTTTTTATGTCACATTTTAGTGTGGCAATTGTTACGACGTAAACAACTTTGGACCATGGATGTTTCTTGTACCTTCATCTCAAATCTGGTTTTCTCTTGTGACAACAATTTTTCAGACACTTTAAATATCGGAGTTTCCCTTCGAGACTGACAGTTGGCCTCTTGCTGGGGTGGGAGCCGACGCGTCCTAATTCAAATCGTTCAATTCTCTGATAAGAAGCTTCCATACACCACGTGTGAGCTTCTCCATGTTAGGACTTCCTCTGGCATCCTGTAGCCTGACGATACTGCCGAGGATTCAGCACCGTTCTGCTGCTGTTTGGGAAAGCTTCTTGCAGATCGCGGCCCCTCCTGGTGCGACCTCACTATCTGTCACCCTCCTACCTCCGTACCTACCATCTTCCCAAGTTCTTCCAACTTCCTACCACTCGTTCTCCCCAGGAGGAGAGAATTCCGCTCCCCAGAAGAGAAGGGGATTACATTGCGCCGGTGAAACAAGAAACCGAGAAAATTCAGATCGAAAACATTTTTCTCTATGGTAATTGTCACCCCCCTCCCCCACCATTCCCAATACACGACGAGCCCTGGTCGACATCTCTGTCCACTTTGTGTTGGTTCTAATTTCCTCTAGCAGTCATAACTTGGTACGTGGTTAGTGCTACCAGTACCGTGAAAACGGCCAGTGACCGCAGCTCTTTGATCCCTTTTCCAGTAGGGCTCAGGCGATCGCAGCTGTCAAGATAGACGCGCAGAGAAGATATGGCCTTCAGTAAGTGTTTTAAGCCTTGATCGAAGGCCATGCGCGACCACAGAGGCGCTGGCGAGTGTTCCTCCCTCCCCTCGCCCCCGCCCCCCCCCCCAATACACGTAGCTCAATGCACTTTGTTCCATGTTCACTTATGTTCACACCTGTTAGGTTCGTTTGTATGGCGAATCTGGGTAATCGTAGTCAGTGGCGCGACACATGCCTGTCTGTCTTTCTGTTGAAGTGATCTTCTTCTTGGCGTAGAGTGCGGCCCATCCTTATAGCCGCCCATTTCTTCGTAGCCTTTTCTTACTCTCCCGCTTTCTTGATTTTACGAATTTTATACCGTTCGATGCACAACACACGAGGTTTTTGTTATTGATGGTTTGTTATTTAGTCGACGGTCGACGTTGTTGTAAGGAACCCAGGCTAAAACAGTATAGTGATTTCGTTCGTTTCCTATAGGGCGACAACGAGTAGTTAGGAAGATGCGGTCAATATGTGCGTTGAGATACGTGAGCTACGGTACCAGCCAGCTGCAGTTTTGCGTCAGCTCCAGCGTCATCCACAATCTTCGCTAGCGAAAGGTCTCAGGGCACTTGTCAACTGCGAGGCCTCTCTTTTTCCTTCCTTTTTTTCTTCCTCCTTCCTTCTCTGTTCCCTTCATCTTCAACCATTTGGCGGCCTCGCTGGGTACCATTTTGCTGCTCTACAAAGTGCGAACGGCGCCCATCTGTGGATTCCAGGAACTGTGAGTGCCCTTCTCCATCACCGGCGCTCCATCCCCCCCCCCCCTTCAGAACATTGAACACCCGCTAGCGCTGACCCATCGCATATTTGCACCGTTCGTACCCTCCGCATAATTCATAGACCCAAGAACGAATGCAAATGTCTCTGAACTGAGATGACTTCCCCACACCATCTTACTAGCGTAACGCCTCACCGTCGACAATCCATTTTTTTAGGAAACGTGAAAATAACGAAAGTGGTAAAGATTACTTCGTCTTTGGAGGATTATTCCAAGGCGGCGAGGCGGAGGTGTCAGAACCTTTGGTTTTATGAAACAGTTTCATACATAATGCGATGTCCGTTTCGCTTAACGAATATTCAGGAGATGTTGAGGCTATTTCATCAGTGACCGCGCCTAGCTTCCTGTGCTCGAAGCCCCTCCCCTCTACCGAAGCCCTCAGGCGACGTAGAATGGAGTAGGCGTGGCGAACATCAACGTTCTGGAGCCCTTTCACACGTCAGCGACCAATACAACCTTAGCTCCTCCCCCCCCACCTCCACGCCTGTCTTTGCCAAAACGGTGGGCTCCGCAGTAATGACGTACAGTGGTTCTGCCTTCGCTTCGCTGAGCACTGTAGCTGTTGAAGGTCCGGAAACGCAGTCTTCTTGGACTGGTGGAAACTTCGTAGGCTAGCCTACTGAAAGCGGCGATCAGGTGCAAAGGTCAGACCGTCAACAAAAGTCCTTCCTAGCAATCCAGTTGGCACCCGTAAACCATAAAATCTGAAGAATGCTTCGCTTGCAAAAACTTATCGCTGCCAAGCTAAGCGCTCGAAGATCGCGCCAGACTGTCACGCCGATTACCTGTTCAACAAACTCCCTATTAGTAAACGGGCACGTTCCGCGACGGCTCTCAGGGTCGGTAACCCGCCCATCATGTTACGTTCATTTCTTACCTCCGCACTGGCCATGAGCGGCATTTTCTATTCTGCCATGTCATTGGCATAACGTACTTATTTACTTCGATGTACTTAGCCCAAGAGCAGGCATATGTTGGCATTTGCACTCCATGGCGCAGTTCGGCGACCGGGGTGGGCATTTGGTACATTCGCTACCTCACTAGTGCGGTTCACAAGTCTCACTCTGGTCAAACCTGTGAACGCTTGTTAAGCTGGAGCGAGCTCGTCGAGCCAACATGGTGAATGGTTTTGTAAGGCATCTCATTACTGTAAACGAGTTGACAGGTGTTCTCCACAGGAGTTGACAAGTGGTCTTACCAACTTCGATGGCTTCACAAGACTTCACAGGTTTCCACCTGATCATTCGGCACGTACGGAGGATATAGCAAAGGTGCAAATATTCCCCCCCCCAAGCCGAACGGCGCCCACTTTAGCATTATATGTAAACTTGTGAATGTGCAACGCGAAACCCCGGTTTTTTTTTCAATTCCCCGATTCCAGAATCATCACACTGCACGATTTGTTTTGGTTTTCATCTGAGCGATGGCGTTTGCATATGCTGACCGGTATATGCATTATGCACGTAATGCGATCGGACGGGAATCCCCCCCCCTCCATTCCTTCGGAATGTCGTCACACTGTCTGCCGCTGCTGTTCCTCCGCCCCTGCGCCTACGTGTCATAATCGCTTTGGGAGTGCCATGCGAAGCGGTAAACACACCGGGCCCTCTGCTTATTTTTTGTGGTGCGATTCAGAACGATCAGACTCGGCGGCGCCGGTTCGGCTTCGGTGGGGGTGGGGGGAGGGCATTCTGCACTCTCTGCTTCTTTCCATGACGTTGTCGCAGACCATCAGTGGAAATCTGTTTCTGAAATCTTCCTGAAGCCGTGAAATCGATGGTGTGAGCTCGACCGGAGTTCCACTTCAAAGAGTTCACAGTTTTCACCTGAATGAATTAGTGACAGTACGTCGGAAGTCGTAATGCCCCCGCTTCAGGCGCCCCATAGAATCGAAATACGCGCTATACTTCTCTGTTTCGTTATCCAGTATAACTTTGCTCTTTCTCTTTTCATTCCGTACCAGCTCCTCCAATGTCTCTGTTCCAGGTAATATACCGGGGTTAACCGGATTAAGAGGTGTATTATGTTCTTCTTGACATACGCGTGAAGCGTGGACGTGCTGACTTGTACGAAATTGTCTAGTCCTTGTTCTATTATTGGTAAGTTACTTGTTCAAGACGTTTCTACAGTAATCAGCATCCTGCCACTTACAGGTCTTGATTTTAATTTCGTGCAGTTCAAAAGCGTTGAACGCATCCGTAACTATGTCTGCGACATCGAAAGACGATTCTCTTTTCAAACAGATTCTTTTGAGAACTTTCTCCCATGGGAATTTACAAGGTCAGTTTAGCCCTCTTGGGCAGGATTTTCGCATTCTACGTCCATTAAGAATCGTAGTGGCTGATTGAATGCAACGTATAACAATGACATGTGGGGCCAGCCAATGAACAAGTCAGCGTTCCTATTCTCCTAAACGAATCTGGTACAAGTGTACCATCTCGGGTGATAGAAGGCTGGGTTAGCCTGAACGGGAGCCGATCCGGGGTTTATGTACTTCTGGTGTTGTGGTAGTAAGCTCACGTAATTCATGCGGAATCCTGGTTCGTTGCTAGAAACCGGAAACGTTGGAGAAACCTATAGAAGGGGTTGTGTTTCGCCGCTGGAGGGAGGGGGTACTACTTGACTTTGTCAAAAGTGCTTATTGTAGGCGATGCGTCCTATACAGTGACTTGAATTGTGAATGTTGGTCAACTTCTATCGGTTTTTCGTGGTGGATAGGACATAAATGGGGAAGGGGGTCGTAGGCCTTGAGGGGGGCTGTACACTGTGGAATTCTTCCCAACCTCAGGACGTGCCCTTTTCCCATCCATGGGGTTTCGGAAGTGGTTCAGCGGTTCAAACCGAATTTACAAAAGGTTCAAATAGGGTTTGAGGATAAGCGGTCTCCCGCTATACTTTCCAAGTTCTCACCCAGGCCAATGAAACTTTCTACCCTCTAAACACGGCAAATCGGTACCTGATTCGTCTGGGTGGATAAAAACACTGACTAGTACATCAGCTGGCCTCTGCATGTCGCTGTATAGGACAACTTGCATTCAGTAAACAATAATGAATGGGAGGGGGTCAGCAGATGTACCTTATGTTTTTATCCTCCCGGACAAACCTGATACCAATCAACCGTCCCCGGAAGGTAGAAGGCTTCATTGACTTGTGCAGGATTTTGAAAACTATTAAGGCGGAAGTGAACTAACCTTCAAAATTCTCTCCTACCTGACCTATGTTGACCACTCGTAACTCATTTTCACACTGAAAAGTGGAATTTCCCCAGAAATTTTCGGGTATCCAGATTGATAACTTTCCACCATCACCCTCGACAGAGAAACTTCTGTTTACATGTTGTTTGCAAGATCATAACAGCTTTCCATTTCAGGTGCGGCAACAGCGTCAGCAACGGAGAAGCCGCAACTGCCTCAATGCATCAATCAGAAACCTTCAAACTAAATGTAAGTATGAAATTGTATAGTTTTCTAGGGTTTATAGTCATCTATTGAAATGAAAAGATGGCGCAAAAATTCGCGGCCTAGACCCTCGTCGTTAGACCAAGCAACTCGAGAAAAATTGCTAGAGGAGCTTAGGAACCTCGTACCGTGAATGGCTTTGGAGGATTCCCTAACCGTCCCGTTGGAGCGGCTACTTCTAAAGAGGAATGGTTTGGTTATTCATCTACCCTTGACAATTATGAACGTGGTCGTTTAGTCATCGAATTCCGCACGTTCGTTTTCGTCTACGGGATGTCTGTTGGTGTTGACACCCCTTCAGAGACTTTAGCTTTTAGTGTTTTCTTGAGTTGTTTTACTGTTAAACAATGCTTTATGCATTGTGTGGCGCGATACGTGAACACGTGCGTGGCCACCTGCGACGTTTGGTGTGGTGCCACTGGGTCTCATACCGGATTCGTTTCTGCGGGGAGCGAGTCGCACAGTTGAACTAACAGTATAGCCTGGGGGTGTTGTGTTGGGTTTAGAAGTCGACCCCGAACGTGGACTCGAATCGACTCCGGAGTTCCCAGGCGATGTGAGCGCATCTGGTCATGCCACCCAGGGGCTCTTACTTTCACCTCGAATGGTACAAGTGCACAGTACGTGTGTGCTCTAGTACCATCAAATAAATCCATTGGGCTGGCCGGGTATGGAGAGCAGTCCCGTGGCGTCTAGGATGTGGGAATCGAAATCGCCCGGAAATGCGTTAGTGCCGGTGTCAAGTTCGCTGCCCCGGTCAAGACTTCTGTCTAGTAAGTCAGCAGTCTCGTAGGGAGGTCAAGTCATTTACGTTTACTATGTGTCAGTTGTAATCACGTTGGCGGGAGCGCCATTGCGTGTGGAAATGCTTTCATCCCGTTTCATCCGCTGTTCAAGTCTGGCTTGGTTCTGTTATTTTTATGTTTCGGTCTCGTTTGCCCCAGGGAGAACAGTGAAGTGCCACTTTCCTAGTCCTTTGCTGAGGTCAAGAACTTTCGCTCATAACAGCATTCCTCCGTAGCTTGCCGAAACGCCGAATTGTGATATTAGGACAGCAGGCTTTCTGAATCAACATCAGTCCCCGAATCAGCTCAAAGAAGAATTACGATGGGAAAAAGCGGCGGAGGTGACGTAGGCGATTTAAGAAGTACAGCCAAAAGATGACCCCGGCGTCTCTGTTATAGCTTGTCAGTAAAGCACGTCCTTGGCCGCAACTTCAAAGTTTAGGATTCGGTTGGGTATCCTCTGGCCTATGCGGCAGTCGTCCCATTGTCGCGAAGTTGTGCCTATTCACCTGGGGGAGAATTTCTGAGCGCAAGTTCTTCCCGCGTCGCTCGGCGCCATTAAATTGCATACCGTACCCCAGAGTGCTCTTACTGATATACATAATCTGTTTTCCCTTGGAGTTCTTTGAGTGATCACAAATGGGGACGTTGGTATCTGCGCTGCTTGGTGACCGGGTGGGGGGGGGAGGTCAGTTTACCTTTTGCTGATTCCCATCGAAGTGTCGAGCCGTGGGAAGGGACGTGTGGAATCTTATGAAGCCACGGACGAGCTTGCTCCACAAAAGATTACAGGTTTTACCAGAGTGAGACTTGTAAACCGTAGCTACATAGTGAAGCAGCGAAAGTGCAAAATGCCCCTCCCCCGTCGCGCAACTGCCCTCTTGGAGCTCAGATGATGTAGTAGCCCCGAGATAGCTATAAATATTAATTGACCATTTTTCAGGCTCCAATCAAGCATTCGATTGGGGACGCCGAGAGCCTTATCTGAGGCTTGCTCATGTATTCGATACCAACAGCTACTGATCACTTATTGCTTTAATATATGTCGTCGATTTGTGTCTATTTTGCTGCCGCCGTTCGGCTAATATGGGTTCTCTTCGTATAATATATATGAAGCAATGAAAGTATTATGTTACATTTTGTATTGATTTGTGTTTCATTTCGACGCAGTTGGGCGACGAGGAGGGGGCATTTTGCGCTTTTGCTACTTTCCATCGACGGGCCTGCTCCAGCTCCACGGGAGTTCACAAGTTCCATCAGAATGAGGCTTGTAATCCGGAACTAGTTGAGCAAAGGGAAGGCGAAATGCTCCCCTCCCGTCGTCGAACTGCCCCTTCACTTGGACGTGTTGTACAGCATTGCCACCGCGTGATTGCTAGGTGTTGTGATCTTTTGTTCGGTGCTGATGCGCAGTTGACGGAAGTGCCTTGGTGGGGGTAGTTGCCGCCAGTCGGACGATCGCGCTGATTACGGTCAATTGAGAGCGATCAGCTGCGTTGTCAGCGCATAGTCTGGTTCGATTGTTGGTGGCGTGACGTTGGAGTCTGTGTTTGTTGAATGAATGAACGAAACAGGCGTGACAGCGCTGCACCAGGGATTCGGGGGAAGGGACAGATGCAAAATTGATGGAAATTGGCCAAACTGCTCATTTATTGCAAAGGACTCCAAAGATCCGAAAGGACCTCAAAAGTTCTTGAGAATTTATTCTTTCATCGGATTTTTCAGTAGTTAGCACCCAGCGTTCTGGTCCCTGTCACCTGCCTGGAGTAGCTACTTTTGCGGAAGACCCGCTCAGAAGTGGGTAATTACAAGAGAGGTTGCAGGAATTTCGTTCCAGAGATCTCGGAAAGCTCCAGAACTTTCCAAAATGCAACAGTTCGTTGAGTAGCGCATCTTGTCAGACCTAAAATACTGTTTGGTAAAGCAGTTATGGAAGCTGTTCGGCTCGGTAGAGGCGTTTTGTTCTCATATAGCCCATCTTGCTAGTTTCTATTGAATAACATGTCACACCTGGAGAGACCTGTAATCTCTTGTCGATGTGAACGAAGGTTCGATATTCGTATAGATCACAGGATCTTGCGGCAGGTCTCTACAGGTAGCATCGATGGAAACTGGCAAAATGTCCCCTCCCCGCCGAACTGCACCTAGTTATGTAATATGCGAGGCGTATTCGGCTAGCTCAGGCATCCACACATTTTCAGCGGGAGGGGGGGAACACGCCTTTTTCTCGCTGGTAGGGTATATTTGCCACTTGCAAAGCTAATTTGATATCCTCAGCAGGCAGTGAAATATTTTGAATAGCTTTCCTAGGCTCTTTAGATCTTGCGGGCTACGAATTTTAGAGCCCCATTGCCCTATTTTGTTACTGAGGTGAAAGTGGTGTAGTGGCAAATGACACGTATGACGTTCCCAGGGTCTTAGTCATTGAACTCTTCGCGGAAGGCATCCGATTCCGCCAAGCCAACCAAGCCTAATCGGCCTCAAGGACCGCTATGGGTACCTCGTGGTCTCCAAGTTCATTGCCGTTTTACGTCACCAGACTGTCAAAGTTCAATAGCCTCCCTAGTACGGCATGTCGTTGTATTGTCGAAGAACTTCAATGCAAGTTCCCGTTTTGCGTATTTGTGCGGCGGACCGGAAAATTGTGATTACATTTGCTCAACCGCTGTTTTTACGCGAAGTTGGTGCTTTTTTCCGATGTTCCAACGACATCAGGTGAGTTCTCCCAGTATTTTTGTCGACCGTTTTACGATCAAGAAACTCAAAGTTCAAGGTCTGCTCATCAATCTGTATTGGGAGGGTCGTTCCCGAAAACGGAGGAATGTGCACAGGGAAGCATTCATCGTCGAGACTTTTGAGGGCGAGGGGTCAAAGTTTCAACCGACTGTTCAATTGTAAATTCCAGAGTTCACATACCATCTGCAGTGAAGTTCGCAAAAAGAATGCGGGTTCCCCCTGCCTGAATAAATTCGCTGTACAGAGTCAGGGTCTGATGATATCTACGGTCACGCAGACAAAAAGGCAGACCACAGATCTTTCACCCGGGGAAAGTAAACTTTACAACAACATATGTGTTACAGCAGTAACAGTGCTAGAATGTTATCGAATTCATGCATTGCGGGTGCCACCTGATGAAATTTGGCGATCTGGAAGTGATCTAATTGACGTGTTGACGACAAAACTCACGTAGACATTTCTGGCGGAAGTTTTTGCTAAAGAAGCAATCGTGATGGAGTCTTCATCTCTTTATTTGCTTTTGGGTATAACAAGACTGTATAGTACAGTGTCTAAGGCAGTGTCACTTACGCTGCGTTCATACTTTGCGGCAGTGACGTCGTAGTTATGCCTTGTGGGAGCAACCTGATGAAACTCGACGATTTGAAAGTGATCTAATTGGTATGTTTTCAGTCTGCCTTCTGCAAGAAAGATTGTTACGCCAAAACTACCAGCGGCTAAGGAACTCGTTCGGTCATTTTAATCCGACTGAAAGCTAATTATTCTGAAAAAATACGGTTAAAACTGAAAATCCAAAAAATGAGATGAAAATGGAGCTGTTTGTTGAGGGATCCTAGTTGTAAACTATGGACCTGATAGAGAGTATGGCGCGATAGGAGCGTAGCAGACAGCTGGTACTCTCCTATCGCGCCATACTCTCTACCAGCAGTCTGCCACCCTCCTATCTCCCCATACTCTACCAGCTGTCTGCTACCCTCCTATCGCGCCATACTCTCCTCTCCCGGACGCTGGTAGACGCTGGGTGACGCTAGATCGATACCTGTACTTCCCTAGCCCTCGAAACGCTGGTGGAAGCGGGTAGACGGCGGCGAACGCTGGCAGACGCTGGGAGACGCTGCTGCAAAGTATGAACGCAGCCTAAAAGCACAACGTGAAAAGGGTGACAGCTTCGCTTTTGGATAGCTTCACTGCCCCTTCGCTGGGAAAATTAGCACCCGTAGTCCCAAGTGCCATGAACTGCAGATGCCGTGGGAGTGAATCTCCAAATAATGAGAGAATCTCTTGGGGACCCGGCTGGTACATCTCATTTACGGTTTATCCGACACGGAGTGGCACGAGTTTTGCCCTTTGTTGGTACCAAATATTACCGAACACTTTTGTTTTTACATCACTTTCATTGTTGGAATTCCCATCGTAACCTTATCGTAGATGAATATAGAACGACCACGTGGTACCGGCCACGTGGTCGAGCAATATTCATTATCTCTGACCATGAGTGGAACTGACCTTTTGAGTGCATTATTTTTTGGTCAACATGGATTGCCATCCATCAAACGAGTGCAAACGACCTTCAAAGTTGAGGTTTCGCTAAGATCGTTTCATTCTTCGGGCTCACGAGCTTGTCAGCTGGGATTTCCTCAATGATTATTATCGATTAGTAACTCAAATCCAGCACAACATACATATGTAGTTATATTACACAATGACCGATATACGGTAGGATAAAATTGAAAATATATGAAAAGGGGGAGAAGGGAAGGAGCGGGGAGCCGGTGGAACACTTGGTGGTGAAGAGCAGTGGCCCGCCAACACTGCAAGTCGCGAGAGTAGCACAGCGCTCCGGATACCGTCTTAGTAGGTCCGTCAACTCCACCAAGGTCCACCTGATATCTTGCCAACTGTGAGGCCTGTGACGGGAAAAAGGGAAGAGAAGTCGTTCAAAAGTCAGAAAGAGTGAGTGTTCGCAGCTGAACTACTAACAAGTAACAACGGAACTATAGAAGGTAAATCTACTTGGTAGGGAGATAACACTAATTAGCTAGTTAAAAAGAAAAGAACTAGTGAACGACATTCACAGCGAACATAGAGAGAAGACAGTAAAAGAGAGTAAGATCCGAACTCAAAGAGGGACGCTTACGACACCTAACAAATGAACATTAAACACCTAATACAGAAACACAATAAGAAGAAACATTAACGCATCTGTCCTTAGGGTTGAAGCACATCGACTCCAATCCTACCCTAATAGCCCTGTTCTTTGAGAATCTTATTAACCTTTTTGCTGAAAGATCTGGACGGCACTTGAGTTAACTATATCGGTCTGGCTGTTCTAAAATGATATAACATTCTGCGAAAAAGCTGTTCATACCATGCGTTCGGAGGCTTTCCTCTCGCTTAGTAAGCTTGAATAGTGCCTTCGTAGTACGCCTATAGTTCCACACTTTCTAAAAAGCTGGTCAAAGTTAACATCAATCTCACCTCTAGTAAGCTTGAATAGTACATCAAGGTCGTCCTACTTCCCTAATAACCGCAACGTCTGTCCTTTCTGTGTTGTGAGTGTGTCTGGTGGGTCTGTCCGAAATTCGGCGATTACTCTGGAAGCCGCCGTTGAGGGCGTGGATCAAAGGGTGGGATGGTTAGGGCGCGGACCAAAATGTACGAAATACACATGAACTAAGTTATGCTCCACCCACTGTGGGTGGGGCGTGCACGCAGTCATGAGCTAGTTATTTCAAAAATTCACAACTCGCTTCCAAAAGAGCCCGGAGAGAGGAAAAAGTGAGAAACAGTAGGGAATGAATGGGTAGACGGTTGAGGGAGGCACATCTGCTGTGTACGTGGCTTGGATCAGAATTTCGTTCAGTCCCAAATGAGCCAAAGGAGCGGGAAAAATGGGTAGCGAAGGAACTACGTAGGCGTACTGGTAAAGCAGACGTAACCGACAGGATGGTGCCGTTGGTAAGTACTACAATAACACTTTACGAATTGGCGAGCTATACCGCTCGATACACCTGACTGGCTCGCGTTCATTCTGATAACCAAAGATAATGCGTCCTAACGCTGAACAAGTGGAAGCAGCCAAACAGCAGGAGCATATTGCTCTACGGCTTCAAGTTTCAAACGCATCAACGCGTTCTTAAGAATCTGCAGGACAGGTGGGACATAGAAAACCTAGAGAGCTGCCTACTAGGAAACGGTAAAATATGGGAATTTTCCAAAAAAATTTTTTTCGGGACAACATGGCCCTGACCTTCAATCGTAGATCTGGCTAATCTGGTCGATCCAAC